CTTGTTACCATATGATGAGTCAGTGTAGATAGTGATGCGCCTTCCACGTAAAAATCTTACGGATTAGGCAATCATATGACAAATTTACCGTTTTCGGATTAGGTCTATTATCAAGGTAGTATTAGTACCGAAATAGACTATAGACATACTAACTAGATTTATAATGCAAAAACTGTACGGTTGTTATATTTATATTTAAATAGTTCATTTGATGAATAAACGCGTCATTAGTCAATATAAAACCCAATCTTTCATATTCAGAAATTTGCTAAGTTGTTCATTCGGATAGACTTGATTATTAAAAAAGTTTGAGCTTTTCAATTAGTTGACAGAAGCCATAGATTGGATACCAGGAAACGTATGAGGACCTTCTCGGCTTCGTGCAATTTTGAAAAACAACAAATTAATCCTGAAACAAACAATTAAACGTCGTTATCAGTATCAAATTCAATAAGTAAAGGAAATAGCAGGTAACAGGATATACCTGTAGTGACCTACTTTTGTAACGAGAACGCGGTTGGTATGATGGAAACAATTATTATTATAACCAATTGTACCAGTGATTGTTTTACTGTATTTGTTTGTTTAACTGTACCAAAGACACTTTTCATTCCGTTGCCTGTGACCTTGCGTGAGCTCGCTTACTCTTGGCAGTTCCACCCGTAAACTTTGATTCGTCTCGGTGTTCTTTTGATACCACGATATCGCCAAAAATATGTCTTATCTGAACCCGTCAAAGCCTTCTGGTTTTTGGCCTACCAAGGGATCCAAGTCGATATCTGGCACGTAATCTTCATGTAGTGATGATCATAGTCAACATCTTTTAGGAATCTCCCGAGCTTTTCCGTAGAAGAACTATCAATAAGTTAGGTGTCTTAGAAAACACGAATTCCCACAATCCAGACAATGATATTCTAGATTGGAAATTCTAAAAGCAGTCCTTGAGGATCAAGAAAATATTGACTCAACGGGAGATACGATTAGCCAGGAATGACGGGTATTCTGGACACCAACTAGTGAATATATCCTTGCCATCCTCTCATATGACAGCTGCCACTCTCAAAGTATCTTGACCAACGGAGGCTGGCTGACAGCCGAAAGTCATGTATATTCGGACAGGCCACCTGATTCAAGGATCCAGTACAAATATAAGTTGACGCCTCCTATTCCACTTGTGAACTGTCAAAATTATTTTAAAGAAAGTTAAATGTACAGGGGCTACCACCTCAGAAAATATTGTGTAGGTTGGTTACTTGTCCGTTCACATAAGGCTCATACAGATAAACAGGACGGAGAAGCTCATGCGTTTCAAATTGAAAGCATAAACTGCCTATAAATGAACTCTGTCAGTTTATCGAACAAACTGGATAGGTTGCGTGAACTCAGTAATGTTAATAATACTCATCTGATTGAAATATCTGACACATGAATATCTTTCCAAATTACGGACCAGGAGCTATCAATACTCGGGATGTGTTTGTTTAGCAACGACAGAAAAATAGGAATTGGGGGCTAAGTGCCCTGTACCTGGGATCATACTTAGTAACACATCAAGTGTACACTCAAACGTTTATCAATCTTGATGAATCCGTGTGGCTCTCAGTTAGATTGTCTACAACCACGAGGTTTCTAACTGGAGCAATCTATGGGAAGCCCACTGCTGACATCGAGTTTGACAATCGTATGCTGAAAGGATTATTCTACGCTACTTGCCTACAATACACTCATATTCTGGTTGTAGGAGACTTCAAAGTTCCTAAAGTCAAGTTCTCTGAGCATACATACATTGGAGACGACAATTCTACCGATGCTCGGTTCTTCAACCTTATTGAAGATCTGAAACTATTCGAAAATGCCAGGTCAGAAACTCGTTGGCGAAGCAGTCGGACACCTTCGCTTCATTATAGCATTCAATTTTATCAGCAAATCTGAGTTAATATATCATACCGACAACGAGAGTTGGAATTTTAGAAGGTTGGATGTGTCAGCTTTACGGGATGATCAACGGCAGTTGGAGTGGGGAATCCACACCCAACTTGATGTAAGCACTGAATGGGGTTTCTCACTGCATACGATCTTACGTGCAACTGATTAGTAGGCCCTGTGAACGTTCCCCAAATATTACATGTAAAGTACAGTTATAAGTAATCATGCTTTTTGAATGTTTAGACACAAATGGCACTACTTAGCTGAATGCAGATGATTAGGGACAACAATATATATAGGCAGTTATAATAAGCAAGGAATCAATGCTCAAAGGTTATGGAAGAAGACAGCTTTCAGAATCAGAAAAAGCTAATTCATAAATTTGTCACTTATCAGAAAAGTATACCCTGTCATCCAGCTTCTCATCGACAAGTCAGAATTGGGGTTTCTCAATTACTAAATCCTAATGGCCTAACCAATAACGATGGTGATGAGCCATACCTTCTGACAGAACAATATCTCCAGACGTTTCAACCGTCTCACACTAACTGCCCTGACAAGCGCTTCACCTGCAACTCAACTGGGCTCTCAGAAGTGAACTTGAGCGCTAATTTGGTGTATTAGAAAAGACAGGACCTGAACAAAGACACTTCTCCTGGTCTCGATATGGTTCATTTTGTCTTAAAGAGGGAAGTGGCTCCAGTCTCGGTAAGACTACTTATCGTGATGTTCTCACATTCACTAAACCGAAACACAGTATCAGAAAATTGGGAGCTGACTCACATTACACCAATTTTCAAGGGATGTCTGCGCAGAGAACCTTCAAGCCAACGACAGGCAACATTTCAGTCAATAATTTCGTAGTGGTAGTGGTCCTAATCACACAACCCTCAAAGCTGAACATGAGGTAACTGGGATAAAAGATATTCAAGATTTAACACGGAGAGAAGGTCACGAATGGTGAACGCGGGAATAGAGAATTAAATCGAATGCAATGGCTCAGCCTAGCGGGCGAAGTCATTCTGTATAACCTGTCTTTATTCACTTTAAATGTATTATTCCTATTTAATGTCTTACATCAACTCGGCGCTCAAATACTGTAAAACTATTCGCTCTAATTTAGACGAGAGTTTTAATGTACTATTCTTTGTTTGACCTAAGTGTTTTCTTCAGAAGTACTAGGTATCATATTGCTGATTGTCACGATATGATAAGTCAGTGCAGACAATGATGTGGCTTGCACGTAGGATCCTATAGATTAGGTAGTCACATCATGACAATTCTACAATTTTAAGATCGGGTTAATTATTAGAGCGGTACTAACAACGAACTTAGGCCATAGTTCTACGTCCTTAAAAACTGTGGAGTTTCTGAAATATGATGGTCTACCCGACTGCTTACTATCTCTAAACCTCTTTTCATCCCAACAGCACGGTTTCATCATTGGTCATCTTCGTATAACCAAACAGCTGACTGAGGTGGACAGTTGGACGACCATCCATGATCTCAAAGAAAAGTTTGATATCGTATACTTTGAATTCTCAAAAGCCCTTGATAGGGATCAGTCATATATGTCTTATCAATAAGCCCAAAGGAATAGGTATCAAATCACCGTTAATTGACTGACTTGCTTCATGTCTAAATAACCGACTTTTTAAAGATCAGTGTATATTTCAATTTTTTTCCAACGCTGGAATGTCCTAGTGGGGCCCCTCAGGATTGAGCACTAAGACCACCTCTTTCATCAATTAATGCAGATGACGTTCCTCAGCAAGTATAATCTGATTCATTGCTTGTCTCTGGAAAGAAGTCATCAATCAAGTTGACAAGTCGGTACTTCTGGATGATTTGACTCGACTTCAAAGTTGGGCGGATAACAAGGGATATATTTCCAAGACTTCAAAATGTGACATAGTTCATCTAAGACATGTCGCAAACTAAGAGTACAACATAGGTAACTCTTCTCTACAGAGATCGCAATTTGAAAGAGACCGAGAAGTGTTAATATCCTACAGTCTGGAGTCATTCTCGAACTGCGACCAAAATACCTTTTGAACAAACCTTGCCCTGGTAACGTTGAAGCTCAGTTTTGGCTAGTTCGATGGAAGAACTTTACAGACGATCTTAAATAGTTTTATTTAACTTTCTTTGGAGTATGGAAACAGAGGTTTTTGAAGGGTCAGAATACACTAGGATACATCCAACAGCGAGTCACCTAAGCAGTCCGGAGACTCAAATTGAAACCTCATGAAGAGCTTCTTCAATCACTGAACCTTTACCCAATAAAGTATAGGTGTCTCAGAGATAACTTAATGACTTACAGCATCCTGAGCAGCCCTGAACATTGCCATAAATAGCCATCTACGCCCAGTCCCAACAAAGACACTTTAAGGATAAAACCCAGAAACTGAAGGCAAACACACAGCAGGACCGACTATTGGCACACCTAGTCCTTGAGATAAATCAAATGATGAAATTCGCTGCTGACTGAGCTAGTTCAAGCGACTTTTCGAGAATTCTTTAAAAGAAAAATTGACTATTTCTCAAGGACTAAGGACTGTACTTAGCTTTAATTTATTAATATTTTTTTGATTTACTGTTCAATGTACCTAGGTTCCTATTTAGCGGCATCGGTGATCCATTGCCACTAAACGTGGAAGCTCCTTAAGCTGAATCTTTCTCTCTTTTGTGTACGACCGTTTCAATCATTTTAGATAAAGTTTACTCTGAACACAGCGGACGATCTCAAAAGTCATAAACGAACGGAACCCATGAGGTGCACAAATTCTCCTATCTTTGATTAGTTCACTTGAGAAAAGATTGGAGACTCATATAAGAATTCCAAGAAAAGACGGACAGAGGACCCCATTGTTCTTTTATCAAGTTAAAAATCCAGAAAATATTGGTGCTAAAACGTGGACAATAAGGGATTGTGATATACTGCGATTTTACTGTGTATTACCTAAGTGCAGAACATTTAAATGTTAAGTGGAATATGTCTGAACGAAAGCTGTAAACAAAGGTTTAATGATAATATAAAATTTAAATTTTTCGACACACTTCAATCATTGATTGTTTTACTCCACAATCAATAGTCCTCTGGCGATCTTTTGAATTCCTTACTATTGAGGATGGTTAATTTTCATTAAATCCTTGGGAGTTTATTCTAGGAGTTTACATTTGATGTAAAATTCGTAAGTCTAGTTTCGCATTTCAACTGTTACCACGAACCATTTATGTTATAACACCCTGGTTAGATGTCCATCTTTTCAGTGTAGCATAAACGAACTCTGTTTTACTTGTTTGTACTTGTTTCAGTTATAATATGTTGATTGATGCTTCGGTTTAATTTTTAATTGGTTTCTTCTTTACTTTATGTTGGTGGTTTGACAGTATTCTGGGTAGTGACATAGATAACACGGCATTCATGAAAATCTTTCCTACATTACTCTGGACATTGTGGTAGTTAATTACATTAAAAAGATATGTGAAATTTTTGGATGGCACATGTGACAGGTGGATATAGTTATATCATATCTCTGTGAGATCAACTTTTCGAAGTGTATTCCCTATGAGTGACTAAACATTCGCTTGTAACCAATATAACAACTGCAGTTGATTGATTTAATTTTAGTGTCTTATTAAGCGTCATATAAAGACTTTCCAGACATGCTGGAACAATTATTTCGAAACAGTCACTCATGTTCATCTTTTCTGCAAAACCTTGAAGGTTTCTGAAGATCGTACGAAATACTCTCCTTCACGTTAATAATCAAGTTGGTTCTTTATTTTTCAGTGATATCAGTTCTCAGATATCCTTGGAAATGGCAGAAAAATAGTCATTTTGTGCTACAGATGTAATTAACAGCTCTTCACATGTTTTCCCATACCTATTAGCCCACCAACATTCAACTTCTATCACAATTCACCCATCCCAGCTCGGTTTCCTAACCCTAGCCAAAATATCCATGGCGTCGGTGTATGTTTTATGGGAATTCATGAAAGTAGCCGTTATAATCTGTCACTGAAATGGCTTAGAAGTGGGATTTTCGACACATTTCGTGCTACATTTTCACCCTGCAATTCTACTGATGCGTCTCCACACCATGTTATGCATTATTTATTAAAAGTTTTATGTGTCGTATATGTTCCGGAATTATAATAGGAAGTCACTAAATTCTCGACAGCAAATCCTCAAAATAGTGTTTTAAATGAAGAAACATTGTTAATCGTAAAGGTTTGTATGTCGGCTGTTATTTTTGGAAATGGGTGTTAGATTCTCGGTATATACTTTTGGAACCCAGTGATTGGTTGATGTTGAAACAAAGTATAATGGGAAACAGAAATGTGACTGCTTTGGAGCCACATCATGTGCTATCTTCGACGTATAATGTTGACTGGAGTAGGAGTAAGTTCGAAGCTACTAGGAGCTAATTAAGACACGGGTTCAATGTATAGTCACAGATTTGGTCTGACCCGTTATCATTATCAGTGGCTGAAAACGTGTGGCAAAAGATCGCAGTGGCGCAAACGTGTTCACTCTTTTTCCACGCCTTGTCTTAAATTCTGCATCCCTTCTCACGTCTTTTTGAACTCCATCCTCTCGAACTATGTTTTTAATGTTTAGTCTTTCTCATTGTTATTAGTACACTATTTGTTTTGAAGGTTTTGCTATTTATCTTTCTGTGCTGGTGAATTATAGTAACTTGAGTCAATTGGTATTTGTGTCAAGCACTAGGTTGATTATATCTAACTCATACTTTGAAGTTTTCGTATAGGTATTTTGAATACAGTTGCATTATATATGGTGGTGAGTCCACCTAGGGGAGTTGGAAAACCCTGATTCCAAACCAATGGTGCACATGAGCTCCAGTATCCTGAGGGAACAAAAGGCGTACGAATCAATCGTTGATCACCGGCTACCATGGGACTGCATCACCTCACGATGCTCCACTGACTTGTGGATCAGATCTTTCGGTCAAAGTCTCCGGGTGTGGGCCCCTAAGAAAACCACCTGCTTCAGTTCGGGCATCTGGACAGTATCACAGCTCTCACACAAATCGAATGAGATTTGTATGGCGCATATGTATCTGGTGCTTCCTTGTACCAATATGTTTAAATAAATAAAAATGGCATTATATAGCCGTAACGACGTAAAAGTTTTTACTAGCTGTCGAGTATGTCTAGGGCGCTCGCACTACTAACATCTGTGTCTGGGTAGTTTAAATACTCAATTTTGGCCCTCAAATGCCCTGGTACGGCCGAGAATGGGGAAAGTCTGCTCTCACATGGCCACGTGCATACAACCACTGCCAGGGAAGTCCTACTCTGTCTTCTCACGGTAGGGGTGTTGTTTACGAAAATGAGGGGACGAAAAGCAAATGTCCGGTACTCTGACCGGGTTGGTGGACACGGCGAGTCTACCTAGGGGAGTTGGAAAACCCTGATTCTAAACCAATGATGAACATGGACTCCAGGATCCTGAAGGAACAAATGGCGGTTGGACCTATTGTTGGTCACCAGCTACCATGGGACTGAGTCTCCTGACGTTGCTTCACTGTCATGTGGATTCGATTTTTAGGTCGAAGGCTTCGGGTGTGGCTCCTTAAGTAAACCACCTGCTTCTGTTTGGGCACCCTGGCAGTACCACAGCCTACACAAATAAAATGAAATGACGATGATGACTGAAAATAATATTCTCTCAATTAAAATTCAAACAATGCACATTAATTTTCCTTTTTTTCACATGTATACTGAGTCACTTATCTACTCTCTTTTATTCCCATTTCGTGTATCCTTATTTTTCAACTTATACAGCAGCTCGCATATGGTGGAAACTCTGTTCTGTCTAAACGATGACGAGTCACTGACTGGTCAAAAGTTAAATGCTTCCACTGAATACGAATACTGACAGTCTTTATGAAACCACGTACGCCGTTCAAACTGGCCTCCTTCAACGTTCATACACTAATGCAGATCGGACAACAGATAGGGTTAGCTATGTCTTCAGAAAGTCTTAATATCGACTTCTGTTGTCTATCCGAGACCGGTATTCAAGACTTTGGTGAATTGCTACAAATTCGCTCTCCATCTGTCTCTTCGAAAAGCTTGTTTTGTGTTTATCCGGGAACCCTATGGCATCGTCTGGTTTTGCTGGCGTTGGTGTCGTACTAAGCGCTAGAGCTGAGGCAGCATCAGTCGATTGTGTTGTTAAATTAGAAAGTTCCATTAAAGTAAAAAGAAGTCGGTACAAAAAACGGTGTCTTTTCGTCATCTCCGCCTATGCTCCGACAGATTGCATCCCGAGTGCGATCGAGGATGAGTTATACCATCAGTTAACATTTCTTCAGAAAGTGCGTTCGACAGATAGTATTAGTACTAGCCGGAGACTTGAATTCTCAGGTTGAGCGTCTAGACATACACAAGAGTCGTTTAGGTGACCAGCGGGGACTTGTTGATCTCAGGTCAGATAACGGGGACCATCTACTGCAACTGTACGCAGAACACAACCAATTTTTGGCTAGCACTAACTACCGGCACAGTCATCGCCGATATGCCGCTTGGCGTCATCCCTCTTCGTCTCAAGCCTGGACTCAGATTGATCACATCGCGATCAGCTACCGCTGGCGTAGTTGTGTACAAGACTGCCGCTCCTTTTGGAGTATCTATCTGGACTCTGATCATGCCCTGGTCTGCGCCATTCTTACCTTACTTTTCAGTGGCCAACGAATTGATGTCAGCAAATTGGTTGCAGCTCCTGTTGCGACTAAATATCAAACCGAGCTAGGTTCAAGGCTAGCTACCATCCCACCGAAAGGTACAGATGAGCATTGGTTGCAATTACACGACGCCGTGAAAATGGCGACTAAACTCGCTTGCGGTTTTGCGAAACGTTCAGCTTATAAGCACTGGGTTTCTTCAGGCTCCTTACAACCCATCGGTCTACTCCGGGTGACCGTGAGCTTGACCACAAAGGACGACTGTTACGTAACGAAATTGGGCAAAGCTTGCGTACGGACTGCTAATCCTGGTGGTCGAAGCGTGCCAGTGAGTTGGAAGCAACAGCTGCATTTGATAACTGCCAGAAGCTCTTTCAACTCATCTGAGCCACTAGCAGCAAGAAGTTTGATGTGAGCGTGTTATAACTTGTGGCCAAGTGGATGCCTTGTTAATGTATGACGTGATAAAACCGCCAGTCAGAGAGCAAAGAATTATAACAGTCACACACGAAAACCATACGAGCAGTCTAGAGTACGTATCGGTCGTGCTTCTGCCTAGCCCAGCCAGTTAAGTCCAGAACAGCCTCTGCGGTATGAATCATTGTATTTCAAACATGGTGGTGACTTTCTGGTTATTTATTTATTTTATTTAAACACATAAATATTGGTACAAGGAAGCACCAGATACATATGCGCCATACAAATCTCATTCGATTTGCTTGAGGGCTGTGATACTGCTCAGGTGCCCGAACTGAAGCAGGTGGTTTTCTTAGGGGCCCACACCCGGAGACTTTGACCGAAAGATCTGATCCACAAGTCAGTGGAGCATCGTGAGGAGATGCAGTCCCATGGTAGCCGGTGATCAACGATTGATTCGTACGCCTTTTGTTCCCTCAGGATACTGGAGCCCATGTGCACCATTGGTTTGGAATCAGGGTTTTCCAACTCCCCTAGGTGGACTTGCCTTGTCCACCAACCCGGTTAAAGCGCCGGACATTCGCTTTTCGTCCTCTCAATTTCGTAAACAACACCCCCGCCACTTTCTGGTTAAGGAACTGACAACGTTGTTTGCAAAGGTCTGGGAGCTAGAGAGTGTTTCAACATCATGGAATGAGTCGATAGTTGTCCCTATCTTTAAAAAGGGTCCACGCTGTTTCTGTAACAATCATCGATTGCGTCTAAACTATTGACTTCCTTTATACTTCGTAGGTTGTTCAAAACTCGGGAAAGATTGACTCTTGAGGAACAGGCGGGTTTTCGTTCTGGTCGAGGGTGTATTAATCATATATTCACCCTCCGGTAAATGTTAGAACACAGTCATACTTATCATAAGCCAACAATCTTAGTGTTTGTGTGGCGCATATGTATCTGGTGCCCCTTTGTACTAATATTTATGTGTTCAAATAAATAAATAAATAATGGTCTAAATTATAGTTTACGAACATAAGCTTAGTCACCTAGTTACGTAATATTGACATAACAACAGAGTTTTTACCAAGGGAATATCTTAAGTTGTGCTGTATGGTCGGAATAGCAAAATGCTTTATGAATAGTAACTTAGATTCTGGAGTATGTTATCATATGCTATATGACCCGTCATTCTATAGCATGTTTCCGTTATTTTATCAAGTAAAACAGCAAGCCATACCGAGTTAAGCAGACAGACGAGTGTAATTTAATTATATACAGATGTCAACCGAAGTAGTTGGGACATGTATTACGTGTACCCAACCACCATTGACATGGTTTGGTTTTCTGATGTAAGAGTAGATTGGAATAAAGTTACGAGGGGGGGGAGAACCCAAACACAGCATCAGTCCACGAGATTATTGGGCGAGACTAAAGAACATGGACGAGCCAATCAGAAGCTTTCGCAGGTTTTCAAGGTCACGGCGATAATTTCGCAACATGATGCTTACGTACGATCGCTTTACAGCGGATTTTCGAGAAGACGTGATAATTGAGCGACTGCAAGAAAAGGGGTTATTGAGAAGCTCCTATACTTGTGACTGCGGTAGTCAAATGAACATTGTACGGTGTGCAGACTATCGTGATGATATTATCTTTCGATGTCCTTCATGTTGGAAGAAGAAATCAGCTAGAACAGGGACTTTTTTCGCTCGCTCAAAATTAAGGTTGAGACAAATTATGCTCCTTGTTGCGAATTGGATAATAAATGCACCGGTAACACTAGCTGCCACCTTTGCCGATGTAAGCAAAGTTTCGGCAGTTCAATGGTACGAGTTTTGCCGACATATTTGCGCAACAAAACTGACAAGCATACACCAATTGTATGGAGGAGTGGGAAACATTGTTGAAATAGACGAAACGGTTGTAAGGAAACGCAAATACAACCGTGGTCGTTGGAATATACGATAGATCATTACAGAAAGGACATTTTCAAAGAGTCAGGAACCGGCAGGCACCAACAATCATACCGATTATACAGCATTATGTGCTGCCGGGCTCTACTGTTTATACAGATGATTGGAGAGCGTACAGATGTCTAGGTAGACTGGGATATGTGCATGAAGTTATACATAAGCGACATTTCGTTGACTCTACTACTAGGGTGCATACTAACAACATAGAAGCTATGTGGTCAAGACTAAAAGTTTTTGAGACCTTATCATGGCTCCAGAGGCAGACTACTATAGAGCCATATGGATGAATTCATGTACCGCATGCAATATGATTTTAGAACTTCCGAACCTATATCCAACCTTGATAAGTTTTTAACTCATGTAAAAGAACAGTATCCACTTTAATTCTTTGGTTTTGTATAATAAATTTTTACTGTACACTAACTGTCTTCTGATTGGCCAATATTTCTCAAGGTCGTTTAAGATTCGTTCAAAGGTCGTCCATGTTCTTTAGTCTCGCCGATTATTGTCTGTTGGTCTGAACCACGTTGGTAGATGCAGGCTACGCGGTTGAAGTTCATGTCATTATCAGAACTAATAGTTGGAGACTCTGACGTGGCTCGGAATCCTCCCAATTGACGCAGTCAAGTTCAATCTTGTCTTTCCGTATATCCTAGGTCCTTAAATTATCTTGTAGACTTTCTTATACCACGAACTCGTAGTCTATCGTTAAATTATATCTCCTATCTCTAATCTTTCGTACTACTACTACTACTACTACTACTACTACTACTACTACTACTACTACTACTACTAATACTAATACTTACTACTCTCACTAGTATAGGATTTGTCTTGATAATTTCATCTATGGCAATGTGGTGTGGCAACTTAAATCTATGCACATACTTGCTATGTCCTACTTTGCTCATGATTGATTGACTCAAATAGAGACGGACAGCAAAAGGATATTTGATAAGTGTACTAAATATCCTTAGCAATCAAACGTCATGATCTGGGCCTAGTTTATCATATTGAATGTCAAGATTTCCCTAAAAGCCAGTTTGATAAAAGTTTAGGTCGGTCTTATAAAAAACTGGTGTCAAGTTATGTATTTTTCCCATGAAGTCGAGTTCAGGTTTGTTTAGAAACCTGTGACAACAATCCTTTGATTGAAGTATTAATACTTCTAAGAAGTGGAACAAAAATAAATGGACAAGGTAGTTGTAACTGTGATAGAAAAGCATGAGATAATAAGTAGGCGTATTATAATAAACTTTCAGTTATAACTGTTTTATTTTATTTAAGTACTGTCAACAAATTATTAACGACTAGGATATTCGAAGTGTCAGAGATTATTGCTATAAGTATTTCCCTGGCTACATAATATGACAAGGAAGTACTTTGCTCTAAATTAGCTGGGTTCTTTACTTGATGTGGTTGAATATTTTAACTTAGAACTTGATTCCATTTGCAGTTTGTCAATAAACCTATTTTACCTTGTTGTAAATAGTGAAAAAAAATGGTTAGGTGTATGGAAAACTGGCAATATCTCCTTTAAACTAGTGATTATGGGCTACAGATGACAATGATAAATTAATTGGTAAAACTACAACCTGTCTAGAAAGTTGGTCAAGACACATATCACGTATATCTAACAACCTCCTACTCCGATAGTCAACTCTGGCTAAGTTGGAAGATAACTGGGGGAAACGAACTCAATACATGGTGTAGGTTCTTGGAGTAATTAGTTACTGCACTTAGTCTGTCAGAGTAATGTAGACTTCCTGATTAGGTATGGCAAAGTTGAAGTCTGTAACTGGAGATTACAGTAGTACAATTGAATCCATCACTTATATCCCTCTAAAACTTGGGTCTATTTCCCTACTGTAGTTGTTATTGTTTTTATTGGAGCAGTGATTAAGTGTTAAAGCAACCGATTTTTAACCAAATAAATCGCAGTTTGGAACCTCGTTCCATCTATTTCAGTTTTAGGAGTCGAATGCTACTACATCTCAGACAAACAATATAACAGCTGAATACATAATTGAATGCTTGCTAAATACGTCAAATTGATTGACTAAATATTATTTCGATTGATGAAGTAGTGAAACTTCATCAGTTGAGATGGCCGGGACACGTGTTACGTATGCACAACCACATACTACCCCGACGTGCAATGTTGTATGATGTAGGAGTTGGTTGGAAGCTAGGTGCGGCCAGACCAAAACGTGGCACAAATCCACGAAGTCACTGACAATTGGACCGAGCCATGTTGTTAGGTGTAGACTACCCGGTTGGGATCCGCGAGATAATAATAATCGATGGTTAGAAACCTTGAATGAAATGGCTCAAAATCGTTTACAATGGCGAAGGTGCATCCACTCTTTGTGTTCTACCAAATTCTAATCTTCTGAATTCTTCATGTCTCTATCTTTTCTATCTTTCCAAATTTATTTCACTGTATTATAATCCTTGAATAACATCTTCAAACCCTAATCTTTCACATAATGCTTATACTCTTACTACTCCTACCAGTATGGGATTTGAATAGACAACTGTATCTCTGTGTTAATGTGGTATGGCAACTGGAACTGATGTACGTACGTACGAAGTTCTACGTTGTAACTGACTGACTGATTTTTTGTTCTTCGTTTATTGTTTTTTTCCTGTGTGGTATATATCTAACAGGTGTCAACTCATATACCAGGCCACAGGTATAAGATTGATTGAGTACATATTATGACTCCAAATCGATTACTATCAGTCAGTCATCTACGACGTAGGACCAGGTAAATATATGCATTGGTCCAAGTTACCCAATCTCATTAACACAATAAGATGAAGAGTTGAATAGTGTTTTCCTTTTTCTAGTCATCAGAAGCATTTCTTCTGTTATTTTGTTTACATTGCTGTCAAAATGTTCTGTAGACTTTCACTTCCTATCATTCATTTTCAAATAACTTTGAGAACATCACGAGATGATTTACTAATGTTCTATATGGGTAATTCTTTCAATTTACGAAAAGCAAAAACAATGATTTAAGTAGTATAGTATAAATTCATTGCATTTTTAATCTTCTCATGATATTTTGTACCATTAACTTATACAGATCTTACAATATAGGTACAGGTAAACATGTTATATTTTCATTGCTTATTATAAAAAGATATGGTTGCTTTTTCGTCTTTTTTGTTTCTAAGAAAAGATCTTTTTAAGCATTCGCTTATTACACTTTTTTTCTGTATATCTTTATTTATCAAAGCGTTGAATTGGAACTAATTTGGAAGCACACACAGTATGTCAAGTGGTGGGGCAACTAGTGTAGTGACAATGAAAGCAACCTCAGCTGCATTCCCACAATCTAATTCACAAGCACAAAAGCAACATTCGCAAAATAATTTGCAACCAACAAATGTATTTGATCAACAGATTCAGTTACAACAGCAACAACACCAACACCAACAACACCAGCAACATTTGTTACAACAACAACAATTACAGCACAATCCAAGTCAACATTCTCAATTGCATCGACTATCTCAGCCACATTTATCTGCATCAATTCATCCTGTTCAATCGATTGCTCAAAATGTCGTTGCTGCCAGTGGTCATTCAACCCATCCAAGTGTCTTTCCAAATGCTGAATTCTTTCAAACATTACAACAGACTGCCGCAGCGGCTGCATTACCAACTGTACTGCCATACGATCAATCACAGTATATTGGTCAATTAATGTATTTCCCATATCCCACAGCTGCTGCTGCTGCCGCAAATGGATTGTTCAATACTGGACAATCAAATGATACTGCTACTCATCATATGTCTATTGGTTCGTCTACACCTGGTGGTAGTGTTAGTGGTAATCAGGCAACAATTATTAATCAAGCATCGTGTCATGCTACTGCTGGACAATTATTAACTGGTGGACTTGTATCAGCCACACCTAGTGGAATGATGACTTTGAATAATGCAACTGGTTCGAATCAAGTTAATAATGCTAATCATCTATTTGCATCTGGAGCAGGATTAGTTGGAATTGGTGGCAGTGGCGTCGGTGGTGCATCTGGTTCAAATACTATTTCTGTGTCTAATTCCGCTTCTTTAGCACCTTTATTTACAACTGCTCATTTTTATCCGCATCATCATACACAACAAACTGGTCAACAACCACCACAACAACAGTTTCAAATTCATCATTCATTACAACAACCGCATCATCCACATACATCTGTACATATGCAACATGTTCAAACACTTACAGGTCATCCAGGTGTCCATCTACAGCAACAACAACAACAGTCGACCGCCGCTGTTGCCGCTGCAGCTGCAGCTGCTGCCGCCGCCACTGTTCTGTTGCCAAGCTCCATATCGTCAGCATCACAACTTAATATGTTATCCTCTCAACAAACTCATCAACCGGTGCATTCAACTTCACAAAATCATTCAAATCATAATAATAGTAATAATAATGAAAATTTACAAAAAGCGGAAGATAAACTACAATCTACTACACCAGTGCATACACCACAAAAACAGTCTGATCAAGAACTATTATCCCAGTCTACTCAACTAGGTACACCATCTCAAGGAAATAATAGTAGTTTGGATGCTAGTTCAACTACAGTAAAACGTGATAACAATGGTACAGGACATTTCGTGTAAGTTTATTCATGTATACTTAACCTTTATTTTATGAATTGTTTCTCTGTAATGAGAACTTGTAATATACTGCCTGAATATGTAAACTGAAGTAGGCGGGTATCAGGATTCAAGCTTGTGATCTAGTGACCAGAAGTCGGACGTCTTTGCTTATTACTAAACTACCATTCCATTTTAAACTTACTAAGTGACATATATTTAATAAAATTGTTAATCGTCAAGTCAGAGTTTATGGCAAACTGTCATCAAAATTTTCAACCCCAAGCGGTATTCGTCAAGATTGCTCACTGTCTCCCTCTTTACTTAATTTTGTCATAGACATTTTTCTGGCGGCAGATCTCTCATCGTCCAACTTTTCAGAAATCAACCTCTTACCAGATGACTCATTTGTTGACTTAGGATATACAAATGATAGAACCCTGTTTACTGAGTATAAAATGTTCATATCTCTTTGAGCAACGATGCCAGTGTGTTGAGATGGATTTCTATCCCCACAAATGCATAATACTTGTTCACGATTGGTCTGTATCAACGTTTGTACTGATGATAGGTAGTAAAGTAGTTGAATATTATGTCTTATGACCCGTCAAATATCACATAAAAATCTCCAATTAGTACACCGACTTATATGACTTTATCCCTCTGCTGAACCAATGATACACCAACCAGCACTAGCATCCTTAAGTCAACTCTGAATCTTTAGTGGTCCTCTGTATAGTAACTTCTCTCCTAACATAGCTTGTTCAGTCCAGAACACAAATATCAGCCTACACTGTATAAATCGTATATTTCAGACATACGTGTACATGTACATGTACAAGCAGACCAAACCACCTTACACCATAAAATGGAAAATAACAATTATACAAGGTCAAGCCCAAAGTGGCTGTGATTGCAAGAGACTGTAACTAATAAATTGTGAATAAATTAAGAATGGTAAATCATATAACAGTAGTAAATAGGTCAAACGAAAGCTTATGATGAAGGGAATATGAATATAGATATAATCTAGTTACTTAATAACTATCCAATAAGTATATATGTAATAATAGTGCATAAATAATCTCTAACGGTTACCATTCATTTACTCTTCGTTCGGATGTAACATCGAGCGTGTCGATCACTTCAATTATCTTGGAAGTTTGATCGGTCCTTGTGTTTTCGTGTCTGATTGAAATATTGGCACGAATTCAGGAGGCTCTATTGATTTTTGTCAACTTATGTTGATTATGGTGTAGGCAAAATTTTGATTCTCAATATTCCTTTGTATATACCTTTCCACTTTGTCTTTTAAAACTATAATCTCAATGTTCAGTCGTTCTTGTTGTCATTGCTACCACATTATTTCGATCTCTTTTTCTATTCATTTTGTTAATACTTCAGATTGGATCATGTTGTACGTTGGTGATCCCTACTAACTGACTGACTTAGTTATATTTGTCACTATTAATAAACATCATTTCATGTTTATTATCAAGTGTATTATATCATGACTTTTTACCTACATCAATTAGTCATTAAATTTTTATTCAACTGTTCACTTATCTATAATTTTATATTCACAAATGTGAATCATTCTACATTGAATAATTGCATGTTCACATTGGTTCAGGGGAAGTGAATCTAACAGTGTTTGTTTATACACATTGTAATGAGATTCATTTACTCTTTTTTATTTCCTCTAACATTTGTTGTTCGAAGAGAATTAATATAAAAATTTATCACCAGAGTGATAAATACCCTGGTACGGCCGAGAGTGGAGAGAGTCCGCTCTCCCTCTCGAAATTCTCTCATATGACCACGCGTATATAGCCTCTGCCAGGGAAATCCTACTCACTGCCTTCTCGTACCACGGGTGTTGTTTACGAAATTAAGAGGACGAAAAGCGAATATCCGGTGCTTTAACCGGGTTGGTGGACACTGTGCGTTCACCTAGGGGAGTTGAAAAACCCTGATTCCAAACCAATGGTGCACATGGGCCCCAGTATCCTGAGAAACAAATGGCACATGAATCAATCGTTGATCACCGGCTACCACGGAACTACATCTCCTGACGATGCTCCACTGCCTTGTGGATCAGACCTTTAGGTCAAAGGCTCCGGGTGTGGACCCCTAAGAGAACCACCTGCTTCAGTTCGGGTACCTGGCCAGTATCACAGCCCTCACACAAATCGAATGAGATTTGTATGGCGCATATGTATCTGGTGCTTCCTTGTACCAATATTTATGTGTTTAAATAAATAAATAAATAGGGTGCAAATAGTACCTTTGAAATTTCTAGTGAATTTTGATCAAGTGCACAATGTAATTCATCTGTATGTGGATATATTGTGACCTTTTACTACTTTTAACTTGATATAAATGAAATAATCCAATTAATTTTGTATAATTAATTTTAGATGCGGTGTATGCGGTCGAGAATTTGGTATGCGATGTCGTCTTATTGCTCATACTCGACGTCATACTGGTGAACGTCCTTTTCCTTGTGCTGATTGTGGAAGAGCTTTTTCAGATAGAGGAAATTTACAACGTCATCGTTATACACATTCAAGTCAACCGAGATTTCATTGTACAGTTTGTGGAAAATCTTTCCGTCAAGTAATTAATTAGTTAATTAACAGTTGTATTTGACGAAGTTAATTGGTTTTAGTAACTCATTTGTTCATATATTGTTGTGGCATATGAAAATTGTTCATCTATCAGTTTTACGTCTGTGTACTTGGCTTCAAGTCACACTCTAAATGTGAGAGCTAGTTATTCTAAGAGATTGTCCAGACCCAAGTAGGTAGAGTGGGTTTCGAACCAGTGACTTAGTAATTGAAAACTCCACAAATCTTATATACCACTAATAATAATCATATGCGTCCTTGTCACTAGCTTCACGATGTACTCGTGAGAAGCTGTGACCAGTGTAGTTCAGTCTGTGCCTGGTGTAGAAGAGTTTTCCAATACAGACCAATGTATGACGGCCGCATAGTTTAACGGAATGGTTAAATTTAAAGATTAACACTGTTGAATACCGACTCAGTTGCTCAGAGGTCAAGTGTTCACGCGCTATACCGAAGTTACTAGGTTGGATTCTTAGGTGCAAGGTCGTGGATGCCCACTATAAGCAACAATGCAGGCATGTTCGGGATGTGATTCTCTCCCTCGAAGTGCAAAATGTTACTTCAGGATTGGGTTGCATCGACACCTGAACTAATGATAGGGAGTGAAGTAGTTGAGCGTGTTGACAGCTTCACTTATATTGGGAGTCTCATCAACCCTTGTGGTCTGGTGTGTGACGAAATCTCAGCACGGATACAGAAGGCTCGTCTAGCTTTCGCCAACTTGCGTCATTTATGGCGTAGGCGAGATATCCGTCTAGCAACCAAAGGACGGGTTTACTGTGCGGCAGTCCATTCCGTCCTAATTTACGGCAGTGAAACATGGCCAATAAGAGTATAGGATATTCGTAGGCTACTAGTATTCGATCATACGTGTCTTCGAAGCATTGCTCGTATATCCTGGGACCACCGGGTAAGTAATGCAGATGTTAGGAAACGGGTACTAGGTAAGGATGGCAAATCGATTGATGAAGTAGTGAAACTTGATCAGTTGAGATGGCTGGGACACGTGTTACGTATGCCCAACCACCGACTGCCCCGACGTGCAATGTTTCATGGTGTAGGAGCAGGTTGGAAGAAAGCTAGGTGTGGTCAGACCAAAACATGGCATAAATCCATGAAGTCGCTGACAAGTGGATTGGGGCATGTTGGTAGGTGTAGACTACCTGGTTGGGATTCGCGAGATGATAGCAATCGATGGTTAGAGACCTTGAATGACATGGCTCAAAATCGTTTGCAATGGCGAAGGTGCATCCACTCTTTGTGTTCTACCAAATTCTAATCTTCTGAATACTTCATGTCCATATCCTTTTTCTCTCTCCAAATTTATTTCACCGTATTATAATCCTTGAATAACATCTTCAAACCCTAATCTTTCTGATTACTGCTTATACTCTTACTACTTCTACCACTATGAGATTTGAATCGACAACTGTATCTGTGTGCTAATGTGTCATGGCAACTGGAACTGATGTACGTACGTACGAAGTTCTACGTTGTAACTGACTGACTGACTTGAGAAGTCCCATGCTAGGAAGAAATGACCGTACAGTCCTTACAGATTTTCAATGATGGTCTAACTAATACTAGTTTGTGATTTGAAACTGAAAGTTCCACGATTTCCACAGATCCTGTATACTAATAACAGTGTAATCAGTGAGTCTTCTTAATACTCCGACAGTAGTCAATTATGAAACATTAACCCTACCATCTTTTTTTTTATCTCATATACCACTAATACTGTTTATGTATGTACTATTGTGGAATGTACGTTGACCATTACATCTGGACCGATGTACATATCTGCCAGGTTCTACGTTGCATATGACTAACTGCCTTGTTTCCATTTACCTTCAGATAACAGTGACCTTGTATAGTGGGACGAAAAATATATATGCGAATTATTTTCAGAACAGACGAATAACATCAGAGACAATGTAATACCGATGGCTTAGTTGTTGAAACACCCAGTTTCTAACTAATAAGTCAATTATTGATACTGTTTCGGTCTATGCATTCAAATAAAGAACCGCCATTCATCACATCAAAACTGCGGCTCAAAATCAATACCCGGCACATACATTAGTTTTGATATCACATTGAATGATATAAATGAAGTGAAATTGACATCTTTTTTGGTTCTTATTTTTCTATTTGAGAAATTTGCTCACTAATATGTGTTTAAACTATTTGCCATTATGTTATTATCCTATATACTATGTTCATTTTTCATTAGGCTTCATGTTTATCAAATCATCGACGTTTTCATTGTGCTGGAGCTACAGGTCGTCCTTGTCCTTTCTGTCAACGTTCTTTCCGTTCTTCATCCAGTCTTCAGATGCATATTCGGTGGAAACATCGTGCTGATGCTGCGGCAGCTGTAGCAGCAGCTGCGGCCGCCGCTGCAGCCAACGGTTCATCTTCACTTTCTGAAGCATTCACACATTTACCAGGATTAACATCATATGTTACAACTGCAACAGTTAACGGGATTCCAACAATGTCTCTAAATGGAAGTAAGTGAACTGTTCTCTTAACAGAAGTAACAGTCATTCAAGTTCGCTAACGATAAAACCTTTTCCGATTTTTTAAACATAAAAACCCTTTGTATCACTTATAATTTTGTTGTTGTTTTTCCATCGGTTTTAAATCATGAACTGATCACCGTATTGTGTGATCATTTTCTATAACCTGGGCTGATTAACTGTTTCACATCCGACATGGTTTAATTCTACTGACTTTTTTTGCTAACTTGGTGTAGATCGGTAACATCCTCTGTTCGAGTTTATCTCTGCATATTTTTTATGTGTTGTAGTATAACGCAAAGATTAAACAATCTGTCTGATTTTGAATGAAACTAAATGTGTTCATTAGGTACTGTCAGTCCAGTCAGTTTTCTACAGTTCCTTTCTATTTAAACAGGTTGCATGTGTGTGACTGAAATCTACTGAAAAAATGGAATTTTCACTCCCGAATTTGTTACTATACATCCACCTAGGGGAGTTGGAAAACCCTGATTCCAAACCAATGGTGCACATGGACTCCCGTACCCTAAAGGAACAAATGGTGTGTGAATCAATCGTTGGTCACCGGCTACCATGGGACTGCATCTCCTTACGGTGCTCCACTGCCTTGTGAATGAGATCTTTCGGTCAAAGACTCCGGGTGTAGCCCTCTAAGAAAACCATCTGCTTCGGTTTGGGCACCTGGACAGTATCACAGCCCTCACACAAATCAAATAATATTTGTATGGCGCAATTAAATTGTTAGCATTAGGTACATATACCGGAAAGAATGAAATCAGTGATAAATGGATGATTATATATGAGTGAACTAAAAAGATTTATTATACGAGAAGGAAAGTTACTAATGATGAAGTATATGGACCTTAGTGATAATAGTTGTGTTCGTAGGTAAATACTTTACGGATACTTGACACTATTATAGAATATTTCTTCTCTAAGAAACCTGAATTAGTATCGATTATTTTTATCGACCTTGTAATGTGACAATAACCACTCAGGAGTCGAATGTTCTCAACCATGCACATTATTTGTTTGACAACATTTGTTTCCAATCACGTTATACACTAACCCTATTGTATGATAAAAGATGGGTGTTTGTATTCAAAACTGATCTATTCTGATTTGCTTTTTGTAACTATGGGAATATAGTTGATATTCTATTGGAGAAAACTTACTTTTACTCAATTCAGTACATTCAGTAGTATGATTTCTATCACTTCTAGTATTCAAACTTCGAAATTTGTTTCTTAGTCAGTATGAATGGTTCTGTAGTAGTTTCAGTAGGCAAGTATGATGATCCACCCAAAGTTGTCAGCTTTAACACACACACAACATCAGGTACTTCAACATAGTGATCACTCTATAATCTTTGGATCATAAATTGAATAGTTGTTTTGTCCCCCTCCTAGTTTAGGATTGGTAACCTAGTATGTAATTCATACATAATCCCGTTTTCACAGGTGATCTTCAAAATGAAACCCTCATGTCTTCCACATCCCTTGCTTCTTCAAATGTGAATAATAGTAATGTTTCCAGTCTTATGGCTCCTATCACTAGTAATAATGGTGGAAGAATGGATTCTATTTTAGGTACAACAACAACGACAACTAATATTGGATCACCGAATAAAAGAAAATGGCGTCGAAAATCTAAACCGAAACAAGCTCAAAACGCGTTTGGAAAATTGGTAAGCAGTAGTTTTTTTCCAGTCATTTCTCAATTAACCTATTATCCGAAATTTGAGACCATATAGTCCCAGCTTCGATTTCTTCATTGTCTTCAGTGTGAATGCGGCTAAGGATGATTCAATTTATTGGGTTTTCCGTACACTGACAGTCATAACTCGATATAGTGCAGTGTTTATACATTCATTATTTTATGATGTGGATGACAATAATTGTGTTTCTGTTCACTTCATTTGTCTTTCAGATGAATTCCTATATGTTTTGGTTTCATAAAATCAGTCACTAGCTGGAATTTTTCAGTCTTAGGGGATAGGAAACCGCACAAAGTGTGTTCGATATTTACGGTTGTGAATTGAAGTTTACTGTAATCATTACGAACTGTTTATTAATCTTCTTGAGTGTGTGTGTGTGTGTGAGAGAGTGAGAGTGAGTGATAGACTATGAAATTATGTAAGGTGTATGATATAATAGTGCATCATTTCCTATGTCAAATGATTACACCCCCAGCATTACTAACTGGAACTGATTCAGACAATAGGTTCGTATTTCGGCTTTTACTAACATAATCAATTAAATTATAAAAATCTTCTAAAAAAAACTCATCGGTACTACTATTAGCTGTGCAGTGGCTTATATTAGTCAAAGCACTAAACTTTCAAATAATAGCTTGGGGGTTCGAATCCTGCTCTAGCTACCTTATATATATATATATATATATATATATATATATATATATATATATATATATAGAAAGGGAGAGAACGTCGTAACTAGTTTGGCACATTGTTTAATTTACAAAGAATTTATACAATTATTCAATTACATAATTTTCTTTGCTTCTTCTTATTATAGACCGGTGATGGATTGAATTTATTAGCTGGGATTAATTTAAGTGAAGGCATTGATGTAAATGCTGCCGCAGCTGCAGCTGGAGCGGCGGCTGCTGCTATCGGTGGTCCAGTTCCATTAGATCGTAAAGGTCGTCCATGTAATTATCCTTGTCCTGCTTGTCCACGTCGTTTTGCTTTCCAATGTCGTCTTGCTGCACATCTTCGATGTCATACTAATATTCGTCCATTTATTTGTATTGATTGTGGTCGTGCATTCACACAAAGAGGTTATCTAGTTCGTCATGCGGCTGTTCATAAATTAGATAGACCATTTTCATGTGGATTATGTGATCGATCCTATAAACATTATGGTTCATTAGTAAATCATCGACGAACTCATAGTAAAAGTAGTGGTAATACAACAAATCTTAGTAATTTAAATCTTTTATCAAATTTAGGAACAATTACATCAACTAATATTGGGACATTATCTAGTTTAGAAGAAGTAGTCAGTGGTGCATTAGGTCAATCACATAAAACTGATTCAACATCAGATGCAATGAATAATCAATCAACTACAACTATCACATTATTACCAGTTAGTAAAGTTGAAGAAATTTTACCCGGTGATCTTAATAGTTCTATTCAACAAGTATGCTTATCATCAGGCAATAATATATTGACTGTTTCTGAAGGTCAAGAACAACAACAACAGCAACATAATTCAGAACAAGTAACATCTCATCAACTTACTGCCACTGCAGTATGGCCAATTTTAGCTACAGGTGGTGGAGGTGGTAGTGGTATTAATCATGTTTCACAAGCTCAATTAATTCCTTCCTCTATTGTACAGCAACAATCAAGACAAGCTATGGTTTCTGGTTCACATTTCTCTACTATAACGATCTCACCTACACAATTAGCTCAATCTAATCAACCGTCTTCATCATCATCTCAACAACAACAACAACAGCAATTACCACTTGTAACTGCCCCACGACCACCTCATTTAAGTCAACCAACTAGTACAACTATGTTATCAACTGCTAGTGTAATAGCTGGTAATGGTGGTACATCTGCTCCTACATTTGTAACTCTCCCTTTATTCAATGGTTCAATACAAAATAATTTAACAGAATCTGATAGGTCTATTATTAATGGTCAATTGACTCCTCATTCACATCATCAATTTCATTGTCCAACAAGTACATTGTCTGACTCATCACAACCACAACAACATCATCTTCAAATCGCACAAAGCACGGCAACATTACAACAACAACACATTCAAGCAAATAATTCAACTACACGAGTGAGCGGTGTTGATACAAATAATAATAATAATAATACAGCTCCAGTACTACATGTACTTCAACCATCACCGAGCATTTTCTTCTCACCGTACTATTTACCACATTCGGCAGCATCTCAAATGTAGACACGTATATATATATATATGCATACATACATAAAAGCAACAGTTGAACTTCGGTCAAATTTATTCTTGCTAATACACATCATCCTATTTATCTATCCACTTATATAAATTGTACTTGTATGCATGACTTTATTAGCTCAAATAGTGATGCAACACTAATGGGGGGGTATTACTAACTTCTTTTTTTATATATGAAAATGGCGTTCCAATTGTAATTTACACTAACGATTAGGATCATATTCTCTCTGTCCCTCTCTCTCTTCCCCCCCCCTATTTTATCCCTTTGTTTACGCGTGTATGGGTGTAAATTTGTGCCAATACACACATGTGTACCATAGTTACACGCGTGTATTAATTTATCTGCTTAAATGATAACTATTGTTTATTTATTATTTAATAATAATGATAATACTGCTACAATTGTCTTACTCTATAATGATTAATACTATTCTCATCATTAAAACAACTACTATTTATTATCTCATTATCATCATCTCATTATTATTGTCGGTATTCAGTATAATTATGTTTATTATCAATTCATATGTGATCTCTGTGTTGTTGTTGTTTTTCTGTTTTGTTTTCCTGTTTGTTTCGAGCCTAGTTTTCTCTTTCCCCTCTCTCTGTCTCTCTCGTTATTGTTAGATATTCAAAAAAAGAGATCATCATCATCATGTAGGGTGGATTCCAATCAAGTTGTCTTTTTTTCTTCTTTTAAAGTTGCACATTTATTGCATTTCTTTTATTCCTTATCTTGTTTACTCTTCTTATTCTATTTCTGTATTGTTTGTATTGCTAACTGATTGATAATAATAACGACACATTAATCAGACATATATATATCTTCTGTATATTTTTTTTGCAAAGTATGCTGTATGTATGTGTATGTGAATACATGAATGCTCTCTGTCCCCCCCCTTTCTCTCTCTCTCATGAGTTCATTCGACAATGATTCCTTTATTCCCCATCCCCACTCAGTTACTGGATTTAAATCTTATCATTACTGCTGCTGTTGTTGTTTTTTTATTATTAACAAAATCACTTATTGTCTATAATACTTTCTTCTATATGTCGATGTGTATTTTGTGTTGTTACACTTTTTTTTTCTCTTTTTATAATTATTCATATATAAAATTAAACAATAAGATCATTCAACCTGTTTTTTTTTGTTTGTTTTTCATTTCATTTTCTTATATGATTACTATTTTAATGAGTTTTCTTTCCTCTTCTTTTTTTTAAATTATCAACATAACCCTAACCCCCCTATATATACACACATACACCCCCCACTTACATCTATACACATAGAGTATGTCATCATTTGGATTGTTGTTTACTTTATGGCGATCATCAATATTGAACAGATTGTGTGTATTATGTGCAAATGAAAATTTTATTCCCAAATATCTGTTGATTAATAAGTAGTATGTATCATTGTATTTCAATTAATAATAATGGTAATAGACAGAGTTAATTTTAATATTCCTTTTTATTTATTTATTACACATACTACAAATAGTATCTGTATGAGTGTGTGTGTGGGGTGGTGGTGGTAGTTTATGTATGTATACCCTCTCTCTCTTTCTGTGTCTCTCCTCATTTACCTTTATATAGACATATATTACATGTGCATATTCCCAATCCAACCACATTGTCTTCTTTGCCTTGGTATGTATGTAATCTATGCATATATATATATATATACCTTTAATCTATATATCCATCTATCTATCTATCTAATGCATTAATGTATTTGTATGTATCTATTTATTTATTTATATATATGTATGGATAATGTATTTGTTTCTCTTTTTAATTCACTTTTTGCTTACTTCTATTATGTAATTGTAAGTGAATTAAATGAGTAAATCCAAATGACTGTATAACATGTATTAATCATTACTTTAATGTAATGTCTATATCATCTTTACTTATGATAAAGTATTATTATTATTATTAATCTGATTATTATTATATATTGTATACTTATTGTTATTATTAGTAGAATTTTTTTTAATCATCATCCTCATCATCTTGCTTAACACAACTATTAGAGTAATTTGCCCAAATCTATTCAATGTAATCCCATTTCACACTGATATTGGTGTTTTTACATAATCATCATTATAATGATGATGATGATGATATCGATGGTAATTAGGGGAGTGTTTTATTAATTAATAAAAAAAGTAGTATTAGTAGTGGCATTATAAATAGTCTTCGAGAAAAATCTGTCTATTATCACTTAACAATCAATAAATTGTCTCTTTTCTTATTCTTCACGTCTTTATTTTTTTCTCTAAGGAAAAAAAAATGAGGATAATTTGAATGATTGTTCAAATATGTTTTTTTTTTAAATATTCAATCGAACCATAACTTTCAAACTGATAGTAATCGTGTGTGTGTGTGTGTGTGTGTGAGAGAGAGAAAGAGAATGAGCTGATGAACGCCAATTAAACTTGACAATTGTTTATACATATACATAAATAGTGTAATTCCAAAAATCTGTTTGCGTAGATTTACAATGTATTGTCACTAATTAATGTGTGTGGGTATGCCAACAAAATTAGTTTTGTTTAGCCTGTTCTCCTTTTTATTAATATTCTATAGTTCATTATTAATAAGAATAATTTCTATATATATATATATAGGAAACATTAATGAATAATTATTAGAGTTGAATGATTGTGTCTATGTAACTATTCAGTCATTTATATTATGTTATTTTAACCCGGTACATCATATACAACTTTATTTTTATTTGTATTGTTGCCACGACTACTACTCTTACTATTACTAGTAATACTATGAATACAATGAAATTGGTTTCTTTAATGTCTTCCTTTTTTTTTCAAAAAAAAAGGGAAAGATTGAACGAAAAAAAAACAACTTAATCAATAAATAACAAGAGTGAAAACAACCAGTTTTGTCTTCAGTTGACTCTTCATCCTGCCCCCCCCCGCCTCACCGTTTTTTTTTTGTTTTTATTACTATTTACAATGATATAAAATGTTCATTGTTATATTATTTAACAAAAACAAAAACAAAAAAGGATTTATAAATATACATAATTATTATTAACACAGAAACAATTCTGTGTGTAGTATGTTTTTAATTCAATGTGTAAAACAAGTTTTAATTGTACTTCTCTGTTTTATCTCTTCTCACTTCTTTTTTTTTAAAAAATCCTTTCTGTATAAAAAGCATTTTCTTTCTTTTTTCATGTTAATTAAATCATTGTTAATTATTAATTGTGGTTTGTGTTTTTTTTTTTTTAATTTTCAAAAAAAAATTTTTAGGGTATTTTATGATAATAGTTGGATGAGATAAGTTATATACATAGAAAGTAGTCAGATACAACATAGAACTAGGCACATTTTATGCATCGGTCCAAGTCGACATTATCTTGCTAGAACAACAAGATGAACACCGAATTCATAGAAGTAGTTAATTTAGTGGTGGTAATATATAAAAGAAAGATTGTATATAAGGATATAGTACAGGAAGAAAGACAGATATCAAGTAATTTTGATCTCAAGGTGATCGATTTTGACCTATGTCACCCAAAGTCGTTGGTTACGATAGTCACGCGAACGCTAATCAAGTAGTCTGCATCTACGATCATGGTTGACACAAGAAGTTATTGACTTTATGGATTGGTGCCACGTCTTAGTTTGGTCACCCCTAACTCTCTTCCAACCGTCCCCAATACTAGTGAGCATAGCGCGTCGTGCTAATCGATGTCCAGGCATACGTGACACGTCTCCCGATCGTCTTAGTGGATGAGATTCACAACCTCATCAACTGATTTACTATCATTCCTTAATACCTTGGGTCTGACCTTACTATTACTTACCTGGTGATCCCAGCAATATTCCTAAAACATCTGTGATCAAATACTAGTAACTTACGAGTATCTCCTACTCTTAATGGCCATGTTTCACAGCCGTAAAGTAGAACAGAACGGACTGCTATGCAATATACTCATCCCTTAATTGATAGACGGATATCTCGTCTTCGCCATAGGTGACATAAGTTGGCAAAAGCCAAACGAGCTTTTTGAGTCCGTGTTGAGATTTCATCAGACACCAACCCACTAGGGCTGATCAGACGTCCAAAATAAATGAAGTTGTCGACGCGTTTTCCTGGGAAAAAGTAAGTAATTATTGTAACGGATTCAGTCCATTTCTGTTAGTTTATTTTGTTGGAAAGTTCACAGTGAAGCTGTATCACGTGATAAGATATTTTAAGATCAATCCATGTAACCTCTTGTATCTGTTTTGTTATCGAATAATTAGCGACCTAAAACAGGATTAGACAAAGTTATTCAAAATGTAGTAAGGATGGATCAATCATCTATTTTGTCTGATAAGTTCACCACAATATAAAAGCTGGATACATATTTATCGATCGTTGGTTAGTGATAGGGCATATTGTAGATATTCAGGTTTTGGTATCGAGAATTGAACATTATAATATGAGATTTGGTACACTCAATGTTTATTCTAAGGTATAAGTCAATTCTACCTTCCCTCAAAATGGCTAATTCACATTGTTAAAGGAAAAATAAACAATAATACCTGAGTGTACATATATTCAGCTGACGAATAATAACATGAAACGCGTGCCCTGGATTGCTGTCTACAATCCAAAAGACAGGAAAGGATAATACAAGGGGATATTTATCTCTTATCATGTATAATTAATTGTAATCGTACTCACTACTTGATATTATTTATAAGATCAGAAATTCATTTCATATGGAGTAAGGTGCAGAGAACGAACCCTACGCAGGCTTTCAACATATACACGGGAACATATCTCGGTATGATTCTACAAGGATTAAGGGAAAGCGGTTAGCAGTTCGGTCATTGAGCATTTAAGGTGAACGGCAGTTCCTAGTTTCAGAAGTTAAATTAACTGAGATTTAGGTACTGGACGCACACACTTGACTGGCCTCGATCTCAGTTCTTTCCAGACTATAATTAGGGGCGTCATTCCGCCTGTGATAGCCATGAAGTAGTCTGTTAGACTAATATAGCGTCTAAAATATTTTCCTCAGTAATTTTCCAACATTTAACCAGAGTTAGGGAAGAATAAGCATATTTCAGACGTGGACGTCTATGTGTCGACCAAATGATCGCCGAGCGCCATGTCCATGAACACAATCGTGTCAATCAATTTCAAACTATTGTTATATGTCTTGATCTTGAAGTAAGATCCGATTTTGTAGGTCACGAGATTCGATCCCAGGATCTATCAATCTCGCACGCGAGCGCCTAACATAACCACTTTCTTTAACTTAGGTAAGTCTATTTATTCAGTTAGGTGTTACAGTGGTACACTATTATATTCAACAGATAATTTGAATATTTCCGGTAGATTTCATTTCTTACTTTCATATAAATCATAATCAATGGAAGCACCGTAGATACTATAAAAAAACGTAATTTGATCTCTTTGTCCGTTCACGTAGTAAGAGAAACATTCGACTGAACATCTTATGTATGACTATTTATAGGCGTACAGGATTCCTATTAAATAAAATACGGTCGTCTATGATTAACTGGTACAACTAAAATGTGAGTGAGCGATATTTGTTTCCATCATAGAGATTAATATACAAACTGAAATATTAGTCATCGTAACAGAACCAAATGGTTGGTGATCCTAGTGATTAGCTTCAGTTTCTTTCTCCAATTGGTCCGACAGTTCTCAATTATTCTTTGCATCAGAGAATCAAAAGAAGTGCTCTGAGGTGTTATTTTCTAATTTGTGATCAAATTAACATAATTGAGAACTCTGGTTACCTATCGAAACGGTTTATAAATATGACTCTACCTAACATGTTGATTGGACTAGAATAGGATGTAAGTCACTCTTAGTTTTGTTGCTTTCCAACTTATTTTATTATATTTAAACACATAAATATTGGTACAAGGAAGCACCAGATATATATGCGCCTCACAAATCTCATTTGATTTGTGTGAGGGCTGTGATACTGTCCAGATGCCCAGACTGAAGCAAGTGGTTTTCTTAGGGGCCACACCCAGAGCCTTTGACCTGAATGTCTGAACTTTCCATGTCCACCAACTCGGTTAAAGCGCCGTACATTGGCTTTTCGTCCTCTCAATTTCGTAAACAACAGTAATGTCACGAGAAGGCAGTGAGTAGGACTTCTTTGGCAGAGGCTATATGCACGTGGCCATGTGAGAGCATTTGGAGAGGGAGAGCTGACTCTCCCCACTCTCGGCCATACCAGGGCATTTGGTGGCAAATGCTTTCCAAATAGTGAACTTCATGAAAATGTAGCATCAAGCTAAACTTCCAATTAGTGCCATTAAACTGAAATTGTACAATAGACAATGCTAATTAATATACCAAGTTAACACTGAATGTTTGAAGATATTTTTTTCAGAATCTTCAATTTTAATGTAAACAAGCTAAACTATCGACACTATCTTCAGTTTACTGATATTACACAACATTTGCTGTGGTCATCTTGTGCACAACCCTAATATTAATTCCCTTTGTGTTGGAGATCCAGAAAACTCTTCGAAAAAAACAGCCAAAAAGGCTCTGAAAACGCTGAGAAGCATGTTATCCAATCAGCGTTCACAAGACGTTTTACCAGAAACATCTATAAAGTCACATGTCGACTTTCTGATTGGATGATTACCTATACTGCTACTATGTTTAGTAGCAATCCAGAGTTTTCCGGAAACTCAAAGATATCAAAAAATACTATGAAAACATTAGATTTTATGTACATGTACGAACCTTTGGAGTAAAGCGTTTTCTTCCATACTTCGCGCCTTTCCACTCGTCTTCAAATCGCTGTGTAGATTTAGCCTGAGGGTTACTAGAAGAGCATATCAACCGAATCTAGCGTTGAGTTAGAAGACATATCGCTGCGTGTATATTGCCACCCAATTATTATTAATATTGAATAATTTTCAGTAAATGAGCACATATATATAGATCTTGTGATTCAACCGGTAGCATCATCACGGATTGATATAAGCTATATAGCAAAATGACCCTTACCTATATGAATGAACGGATTCTGACCGAAAATTCAAGATGCTCTATATGGTTGGTTCGTCTACTGTCAGGTTAAAGTTTCAGGGCTAGTATAGATCCAGTGAAGGAATTGAAGATACAATATATTTAATACTATCATTCTTTACTCTAGCCATCATTTTAAACAATTGAAGTCGTATACCAAGGTAGTTTTACTTCTTGTTAAAAGTGATATTTGAATTTTGCTCAAAAACCGAAAATTCGTACTCTTTCATTTGACTGGATCATTTCTATACTAAACTTCAATAGTGAATAACCACTTGCATGATCTAAGAAAATTTCTTGAACTATATCTTTTAAGAAATCCCATCGTAATTATGGAAAGCTATGAAATAAGACTCGTTGTGATATTATATAGTAGTGAACGAGAACTGAGATGAAGAATACCAATTTCGTATTTAGCGCGAAACCCCGCAATGGCTTAGTGAAATATGATAATCAGATAATAAATACATAATTTGAATGTCTTCTTCACGTTGTCCTTTACACTCCATTATTCCTCTAATTCTGTTGTTATTTCGATTGCTCTCTCTCTTTTTCTGTCAGACATTCTACTTCCGGGAACCACTTGTAGGTTGTTATTATTGTATAACTACCAGTCTCGCGTCGGTGCACTTAACCGATAGACCACTGAGCCGGCATCTAACGGTGTTAATGTCTAACTCCAACCAATCCACGAAGTTGAAGTTAGACACTAACACTGTTGGATGCCGGCTCAGTGGTCCTTTGTATAACTATTAAGTGATTGAATTATATATATTTATATTCGTCTTGTTATGATACGGTTTAATATTCTAACGTTATTTATAATTTACTATTGACAGTCTCTTACAATCACCGTCGCTTTTGACTTGATCATGTATAATTGTTATTTTTCATATTATGGTATGATATGATCTGGTTTGCTTGTATATAAACCACATATATCTGAAATTTATGATTTAGGGCTAGGA